AACATTTATCCTAACAGGTTCATAAATTATCGGTTCCTACATGCGGGGTTTTACTCACTGATCTAATTTAGATCAAAGGATTTTCATGTTCCCAAAATATATTTGTTTTGCTAGCACATCGAGGGATTTCTGCATGCATGTATTTCTAGGCAATCTTAGACAGTCCTTTTTTCACACAAATTTCGCGGTCTGTCTATTTATATTTCGGCGCTCTTTTACTTGAGAACACTGGAACCTAGCCAAGATGGGGCGGGCCGAAGGAAGGGCGAGAGCGACGGACTCGTACCCAGACCCTGAAATTAGAATTGGAGAAAAAGTAATCGTACATATTTCAATTATTTTCTGTCCGATTTAAATAAAAGAACATCAGATGAGTACCTGGTAGGTTCACTAGACCGTCCAATTTCATGCAAGGCAGTTATCAAGTCAACCTCGTTTATCAAGTTTAATGAAAATAGACGTAGAGATTAAGAGATTTTACACATTACATTAATTGACCTGAATGAAAAGTCCACGGAATGATAGGCCGTGGGATGAGCATCCAAAAGATGCAATTCCGTTGCACCCCTCGTGGAACTACGTAATTTTCACATGAATAAATAGATAAAAACTTACTTTATCAGAATCCGTTGCTCCCCAAGTGAAACAGGTGCACAATTGGGAGAAAAATCCCTCCAAAGTTTGATATTTTCGCGCTTCGAAATATTCGAACCGCCATTATTTTGGTAGCAAATACGCATGCGCAACTCAGTCAAACTCGCACTGCGCACGCGCAGACTATAAAAATAGATTCTCACTGGGGGGTTTCCCCCATTTCCTCCGCATAAACAACAAAATAAAATCACAGAATACTGATCAAACCTTGTAATATAAATACACCCACATTAAATATTGTTAAAAACACATTGTATATTTTGCTTGCTCATATGCTAAATCACTTCAATTCATTGGCTATTGTTTCAAAATACCGTTTTAACGTTTAATTCTACTTTATATTAACATCCTAATTCAATACAAATTTGTGTGAGGTAAAAAACCCACCTGTATCAAACAGGACGGAGAATAAAAAATATATATGCATACAATTCACACGATCAAGGAACAATTAAAATGAAATATTTGTGAAACACTCTTTATCCGTTTGCCGACACTGACAATATGACATACCGAAAGATTGGAAAGACAAATAATATGATAACAGTGTTTCCAAGTTCATCCCGGGCTTTAAGGGATATTTATATAAACTCGAAATTCATAAAAAAAAAAATTAGGAGGAAATATAAAATCCATAATTTCATTATAGCCATCTATAATTGAAAGAAATGTTTTCATCTTTGAACCCAGATTTTCATCAGAGCAATAAAATCCCGCTTATTGGATCCTGGCCAAGGGCTTGCACGCTCAAAACGAGATTGCATGTATTCTGCAATAAGCTGTCCTGGCTTTGGTCTGGTAAAGTTCTACTTCTCGTATTTGAACTATTTCATGTATTATATTTATATTGTGACATAAGTTGGTATTTAGCCACTATCTAGAATAACAAGGAACGATTCAGCCTGGTTTTTCGTGTCCACACTAGTTGACTTTTTCTTATAGATTTGCTGAGCTGTGAGTTTCAGCACCTCCACCAGGGTGCGTTTTAGCTTCTCAGACATGACTATACTGTTAACCCTGTCCATGAGAGGGATATATGTGTTGATAATATAAATACTGTGGATCCGAATGAGAATATCGAATAAGTAAATAAATACTGATCTACTCCACTGATAATACCTACATGCATTACCATCATTGTTCACCTCAAATCATTAATAATTCATGAGCAAATTAGCCAACTATATTGCTTTATTTTGCTCACATGATAATACTGGATACTTTATGAAGTATATTGATCCTGTGGTGTCCTAGGACTGGATAAAAATTAATTAAGTAGTGATTTATTCGTGATGTCATTTCAAATCCTCCAATTCGGACTGGACCAGATTTCAAGTCCTCACATTTTGATCCAGTCCTCTGCTTCGCCTCGGACGTGATCAAATTGCGTGTACTTGAAATCTAGTCCAGTCCTCATAGTCGGATTTGAAATATTATCAATTGTCAAATCAGATGCCAATGGTGGCCAAAGAAGATTCAGTTTTAGTATTTCTTGCACCTTTTGGTGAAGAATGAATACAGCATTGTATAGAATTTGTAACTCATTGACTTTAGAATTTCCCTCAGTTTCTGTGTTGGAATTCACATCATCATCATCATCATCAATGGTACAGCTCTCTTCATCAAAGTCCTCATCATTGTTTTCAGACTTAGGGCCTGTTTATATGGAAGCCGGGCTGGCCTGATAAGCGAGACAGCCTGGTAAGCAAGATCTCGCTGTGTAGTTATTTTTATAGTAAAAATTATCATGCGTTTATATGGCCAAGCAGGCTGGCCCGGGTTGCCGAGATCTCGTTTGAAAGAGGCTAGATCTCGCTTACCGGGATGGAAATTTCTCCATATAAACATTTACAAGCGGGCTATCCTGGTTGCCAGGATGAAAGTTCAAAGATACCGCCGCAAGCTATTTTTAACAACTGTCAAAACAATACAATGTAACAAAATTGTCCTGGCAAGCGGGATGAAAGTTTCTCATATAAACACAAGAGAAATTCATCCCGCTTACCGGGCTGTCTTGCTAAGCGGGCCATTCCGGCTTCCATATAAACAGGCCATTAATTGACATATGTTCCTCAACCAATTCAGAAGAATCCAAATTTTCCACATATACAATCTCACTAACATTTCTCATTTCTGGTACACAGAACACAAGTTGGGGATAACTTTTCATCAGTCGTTGCTTGAGTTTAAAAACTCTATATTTAGATGCATCCACATTCTCAGTGTCCTTAGCAATGATAACAAATTTCTCCAGCAAATCTTTCATATACTTTATTGCTTATTTCTGATGACCTCCATCTCAATTACTTTCTTACAGAATACATCATAAGACTTCTCGTACACTGATGCTCTTGTTGCTTCTTCGTCTCTCTGGTGAGAAATATTGTATAATTGCAGTAGCAAACTTTGTGATAGCGGATTTCCAGAGCTACACAGTTTTTCCCCTGGATTTGCACGAGTATCTGTTGATCATTCTTTCTCTCGGCAGCTGTACGTAGAAGACCAGCATCAATTGTTTTTGCCAACATAAGTGGGGTTCTTCTTCTCTTCTTAGTTACCTGGTGTGAAACAAAATAAATTATTAAACTAAATATCTGCTAATAAAGGTTGGATGTTTGTAGCATAGAAACTACTTTACCCTAAATAAACTTAATTGATCACAATTCAATATATTTTAAAACCAAACCTGAGAATGTTGTGCACATTGCGCTAGTATTATACCTATCAAAATGACCATACCTTGTCCAGTGAGAACCACGAGGCGTCTCTTCCACAAATATAACATATCTCTGGGAGTACATGCGCGTTTCTTTTAGGCAGGGCCTTTATATATTTTATAGCTTCTGCGACTGATTGACGTGTAATTTTTCGCCTTGGTTCTATTGCCTCCACTTCCACGTGTGATTCTTCGGTAGAAGTTATAGTTTTAGAGCTAGTTCCTTCTCCTTTTTCTTCTTTTCTCTGTTATCTACGGATCTTCGGTTCATCGCAAAATCTCTTCTAGCATTTCATATGATGGTTCCATTCTAAGTTATTACTGTAATGGTATCAGAGTTCTTCTCGATGTATGAATTGACAGATCCGTCATCGATGTTCTCGTACGATTTCTTAGCTATTTCAGCTTGTTGACACTTAAGTTTGGCCCATTTTGACCTACACTCAAGAAATTTCTTAAGCCTTTGGCGTGTAACTTTGCGAAGTTGCTCCGTAACGCCATCAAAATGCGTAAAACATGAGGATATTCGAGTTTTATAAATATCTTCAGCCATGTTTATTTGCATAACTGAGCGTGTTTCCACTTCGAAGCATGTGCGTTGGTTGTGCGCGTGCGCAGTGCGAGTTTGGCTGAGTTGCGCATGCGTATTTGCTATCAAAACAATGGCGGTTCGAATATTTCGAAGCGCGAAAATATCAAACTTTGGAGGGATTTTTCTCCCAATTGTGCACTTGTTTCGCTTGGGGAGCAACGGATTCTGATAAAGTAAGTTTTTATCTATTTATTCATGTGAAAATTACGTAGTTCCACGAGGGGTGCAACGGAATCCGTTTTCTAAGCATCTTTTGGATGCTCATCCCACGGCCTATGATTTCTAGTTGGTCACTAGCCCAAAATCTTTAAAATTATTGTAATATATATCATAAATAAATTTATTAACCTTTACCCATGCATATATTCGTGGATTTTTGGACTTTTACAGATTTTTGGACGGTTCCAAGTTAAACCGACTTTTCATCAAAGCCCCCACAAAAATATAATTGCATATTTGAATATTACAACGGTCAATTGGCTGAGATTGTAAATGAAGATGTCTATTTTTAGTTTTAGTTTTCCCATGCATGTGATTTAATAAATTTATTTATGCTTGCCAAATAATAAATTCCTAAAATATAGCCTTGAAATATATAGTCATAAAATGTCTGAAATTTCGAAAGTCCGGCAAAGCTTTTGTACACTTTCTAGGAGTGATTTGCCCCTCGATCTTTTTAATCAGCATATCTATGACTTTGCTTAATTAGAAATCAATAATCATGCTTTTGAAGCTTGTCAGCTTCAGCCCGGTTTGAGCTCCTGGGCTCAAATTTCAGCCCGGACTGAAACTCAGTCCGGCAGCATGTAATCGCAAATAATTTCAGCCCGGGCTAAAAAAGCAACCGTTTAAATGGCTTTATTTTGCGTGTTTGTTTCATGTTTATTTACTTTACATATAACTACAGTCTCACACAAGTAAAATAGTCGACTAATTAATCAGCATCTCATTGCTTCCAAGAAGCGTAACAGGCTTATTCTCCTATTTCGTGACACTCAGATTATTTCAGCCCGAGTTCATTATAAATATAGCTCTGACTAAACTCAGCCCAGGCTCAAACTGCTCATGTAATCGTGATGCAATTTCAGCTCGTTTAACCGGAAAATTCAGCCTGGGCTGAAAACTCTTCATGTAATCAGCCCCTTAAGTAAAAGTCAGTTGAAAAACTACCCTTCAAATTAGGAAGCGTTGTTGAGGAAACATCAAAATTTCGATGTTCCTCGAATATTATCCCATGTGCTCATTCTTGGAAATAATGATTTCCCCGTAATACAAGGGTACAACATATTCAAACAATGTTTTGTTAACCCAAGTGTTAAAAATCACAAAACGTTATGTTTATTCAACTGTTTTATTTAATTTCGTTCTTCAACAAAAGAAAATTCTACAAGTACATGATTATCTTGAAACTTAAATTGCCACATGTTATGTCGGCCTAAAGGAAGATTTATTAAGCTATGACATTATAACAATCACCATCACCAATTCCTTGTGATCTGTAAAAACCGCCCAACAAACCACCTTGCATACTGTTTTCACGTATTGGGACAGCCATAATCTGAGCACCTGTTCCACCTGAAAAAATAAAAAAATGTTCATGATCAAGAACGACTCTGAGAATCTGAATGCCGAAAGTAATATTCAAGAATACGGGTTCAACTCGAATACGCACACACTTCTAATACATTCGTCTCTTTACTGCGGACACCTCTCAAATACAAACACAACTTGTTAATACGTACAGCCCTTTCTTTCTGACACGTCTTTGCTATCCAGTCACCTTTCTTATACGGAGACTTCTCCATCTAATACGGATACCTCTCTAATACCGAAACCTCTCTAATACAGAAAATTGTCTATAGTCTATAATGCAAACACCTCTCTAATACAGGCATCTCTTTAATACAGACACCTCTCTAATACAGACATCTCTCTAATACAGACACCTCTCTATAAATACAGAAACTTTTCTGATATAGAAGCCGCTCTAATATAGACGGCTCCCTTAAACGAAACATCACTCTTATAACAGAAACCTCTCAAATACGAGTACCTCTCCAAAACGAACACCGTTTGATCCGGACAGCTCTCTAATACAGAGCCCCCTCTAATACAAGCATGCATCTTTCCATCAGGGTACCTATCTGATACGGTCACTACTCTGATAAAGAAACTTCTCAATTACGGATCACCTCTCCTGTACGGACACCTCTTGAATGCGGATCTATTCGTACCTTCTTGGGATGAAGCAAAGGGATATTCATCACAGTTCTTGCCTGGTGGTTTAGGCATTCTTGTGCATCCAGAGTCACGTCTATTCTTAGCTATGGCATTCCTGTCCGTGATGCGATGAAGTTGTGATGGATGCCCATTTGCAATGGCGGTTTTCATGTTCAGACAAACAGTTGGCATAGGAGAGCCAGGACCACACGGGAAAGTGATCGTGGGGCATGGTTGACGTTTTTCAAGAAATAACTCTTCGTTTTCTATTTCATCAGCTGAATCTTTAAAAATAATGAGTCACTTAATCATTGTTAATAATGAGTTGCTTATAGTATTGATTACACAAGGCGTGACAAACGTGCTTGACAACGGCTAAGACCCAAGATCTTGTTTTTGGTGAGGAAACGCGGAGAAAAATCCTCAAAACGCAAAAGAAAAACAGCACAAACCTGTTCTCTAACTTATAAATAAATCCCCAAGTCTCGACTTACAGTGCAGGATTCACTCGACGAGGGAAGTACTACAGTGGCATGTCTTTCACCCCTGATTGTGTAACTGGCTTTGATTCCGACTACACTCGGGTTTCCTTCTGTAGCAAAATTGAATCAATACGAGAGGGTCTTTACTGGACCTCTAGAAAGACCAGTTCAGAACTGATTGAACTTATCCAGCATGACGAAGATACAGTTAGCCGGTTCAGGTTTTGATTTCCTCCTGCAATAGTACTGGATCAGATTTTAAGTATCTTCATTATTTAATGGGGTGAAATCTTTCGATTATCTTTAACTTTTACATATGAATAGTATTAAACTAGGTAACATTTTCGTGGAAACATATATATAAATCTTAATGTTTTAATTACATGTTTGTTGAAACAATATTTTCCTTTCCGGGAAGCAAAACTGATGTTTAAAAACCAATTCATAAATATTTTGTTTCGCATGCAGAGCAATTATCATTTCACAAATGCTGTTTTTTTAGTAACAACCTTCAACCCGCATGTTTTGACAAGCAAATGCTGGTATCATGACTTGTAATGCAGCAATAAAGCAAAAGTTTCTCACAAATGCTTCCTATAGTTTGCCCACCATTGATAAACAACATTGTCTGTTTCATTAATAATCTTTCCGCTGTCTATCCTGAGGCTGAGCTTCAATTTTACTAAGTAACAATGAAAATACAGCTATTTCGATTAGGGTTGTCATAGGCAATCGTACATTCTAAATGCGAACCGCAAGGTGAGTTTACCGAATTTTAATATATTTAGCTGCATGTGACCTTCTTTTCGTTTGGGCAATTTCCGGGGGTTATAATGATGTATAATCTGACAATTCACATATATACTTTTGGCGCTCGATTTCATATAATCACATTTGTCTATTGCTTGTGACTTAACCTAGCGTTAAAATAGCTCAGTATTCGAGTTTATATGAAATATGATACGCACCTTGCACAATATTTGCTGTCGTGTACGCAACGAGCAGAACGATACAAGCCACTAAACGCAACAAAATTTCCATCCTTCAGAATTTGACGAAGATTAAACAAAATAACCTGTGAAAAAATTAAATCTTTAAGCCAACTCTGTTAACATTAAATGCCCGTCATTTGTAGTTGAGACGGATCGTCTGTCGAAGAAACCGCGGCGGTAGCGATTAAAAACCTTTCGCAACAAGGGGTATATCCAGTCAACTATCATGCAACTCTTGTTCTCGTTTGGCCGGGGCATGAGAGTTGAGAAAACTTCTCATGCAAACTCTCGCTTCTCAACTCTCATGCAACTCTTGTTCTCGTTTGACCAGACCTTTATAAGCATCATTTATTCCAGGTTGTGAGTATTGCACTATACATAACAGGCTCACAGTCATACATGATGCAGCGATATTGGCGTGTCGCTGTATTACTCGTTATGCATCGTCATCGATGAATTTTCAGTGCAAGTCGAAGAAAAGTTCATTCTCATGAGTGACTATATATTTACGAGTGTATACGTTAAGCTAGGTTGGTAACAAAAGTCATTTTGTTCCGAGTCCAAGTCAAGTCATAAGTTTTTGATCAGAATAAACAGTCAAGTCAAAATTCACAGATATTGCACTCGGCCGCCTCGAGTCTACAACTTTGCCCTTGGCCATGTATTTAAACTAAGAGGGATTATTCATTAATTAAAGACATTAAACGAATCTCAAAACGGATGTATATCTTCTGTTGTGAAAGAGACTCATAGAAACATTTTCCCTACCTGGTTTCAGTTGTTCGTCTGTAAACCGTACCTCTGAAATGTGTCTGCAGATATATCAGTTTCGTTTCGACTCTGAAGTGATGCTGAGGAAGTCAATAAGATTTACCAATAATGACTTTCGGGTTTTGCCATGACGTAAAACCCACCCACTGTAACACTACAAACACTTCAATTGGTGCTTAACATGATCAGTTGCCTGCCACAAGCCAGTTTTCCCTGTGAGAACATTTCTGACACCCCTAGCTAAAACTCGTAGCAACCCTAATCTAATTTTTTGATTTTTTTGAAAATCTAACTTTTCTAACTTTTTTTAAACTTTTTAAACTTTTTGAGAAAGATATTAATGCTTTAAACGTTAAGTATGCATGTTTTGGCTCGAATACAAACGTAGAAGTAATTTTGTCTAAACTGACTAAAGCTATTCTAAAGCTATGCAAGGCATGGACGCTTAACTCCATGAGGTCATAAAGACCCGCATACCCTAGTCTGAATTTTAGGCGGTCGCCAATTTCCGTATAATATTTTTAATTCATTTTTATTTGGAAAGGCAATTATAAAACAGAAATAGAATACAGGCAAAATAAGATGGTAATATGATTTTGAAACTATAATCATTTTTGTTTGTGGAAACACCACGTAAATTTATTACTGCAAATGAATTTCTGATTTTGAAATTATCAACAAACTACTGCAGAGGAGTGCCTCGCTGCCATAGAAGTAATGTTTGTTGTTTGTTTGTTTGCTTGTTTGCTTGTTTGCTTGTTTGTTTGCTTGTTTGCTTGTTTGCTTGTTTGCTTGTTTGCTTGTTTGCTTGTTTGCTTGTTTGCTTGTTTGCTTGTTTGCTTGCTTGTTTGCTTGCTTGTTTGTTTGTTTGTTTGTTTGTTTGTTTGTTTGTTTGTTTGTTTGTTTGTTTGTTTGTTTGTTTGTTTGTTTGTTTGTTTGTTTTGTTTTGTTTTGTTTTGTTTGTTTTGTTTGTTTTGTTTGTTTGTTTGTTTGTTTGTTTGTTTGTTTGTTTGTTTGTTTTGTTTTGTTTTGTTTTGTTTTGTTTTGTTTGTTTTGTTTTGTTTTGTTTTGTTTGTTTTGTTTGTTTGTTTGTTTGTTTGTTTGTTTGTTTGTTTGTTT